TCGTGGCACACCGACAAATGGCTTGTCGAAATAGATACTCGGTCGCCATCAGTTTATGGCGGAAGGTTCAGCAATAACACTGACTTCTGCGACCCACCTATTCGATCGCATAAAACATCTACGGGAAGAAATTGTAGACCCGTCCTTAGGGGTAGAGTTTGGCAGTTTGTAAGATAGACCCAAGCTCTCAACTTCCATGGTACTTTGAAGAAACTGCCTATACTTTCGATCTTCTGAGAGCTACCACTGTAAGCCGAGACGGCTGAAATGAGAAGGTTTTAACGCTTGAGACGTGTCCATCAGCAGTCAAATTGACTTTCCTGCAGCTTATAAACATGTCGCTCTTTGATGCAACCCAAGAACTCGCTGTGATTTACTGCCAACTCAGCAGTTGTCTACAAAATACGCAGCAACGATGGGAACTGCAATTATCTATAGGTAATCGGCTGGATGCTATAGACCGGTATTCAGGAGCATAATACGGCAACGGGGAGGCTAGATCCAATCTCTTGACTTGCAAAAGACGGCGCAGAAACTGATCCTAAATTCAACAGTCAGGGAGCTATCATCTTAGACCGGAGCGGCTAAAACTTAACGCGCAGTATTCAAATGACACCTCCACGAACAGGCATTTTGATCAGCTTATAACACCTTGCGTCATTACCTACCTAAAGATCGGGTAAATGAGCTACCAGACCGAACCACGGCAAAGGCTCACACTCCCTCCCAATTAAGGTAGGGAATCATATCCCACGCATCCAAAATGCACACCAAACCTCCGACAATGAGCCAAGACGGCGAATTAACAAAAATCGATCAGCCGCATGCCGACAAGCAGGTCAGGGAATGCCGCTTCCATTGCGGTTCGCCAAAGTGGACTCATAAACTTTGACAATGGTGAACTGACCAAGCTCTCCAAACCACCCCATTTGAATACACCTATTTGTGGAGCCACTCTTATTTCTCAAATTATCATCAAACCTGATCTCCCAATTTTTCTAACTGGACTAAAATAGCTTAATTTATTCTTGCTTACATTGGAATGCTTTTAATATTAAGTTCAGAAACGGATATTTTGCTTAAATAATAAATATGAATTCACATAAATCACCCAACTTCCCCACTTCCGCATTTATGTTTACCGTCACTAGCGTGCCTCGCTCCGGTGCTGAACGTCTTCTCAAATCCCGTCTTACAACCGCTAGACGGCCTTGATAGTACTGATTTG